AAAAAAAACGTTGGCTGCGCTGAACCGTTGAATCGGAAGTGTCGCGTGACACGAGATAACGCGGAATTTTTGGAATCAAGTAACGTCGACGTGCTTAGCGGTTCGTCGGCGTTGAATGCGAGCGAAACGAAATTGCCGTCGGCGTGCGTCGGTGCGACGGACGCAGCGGGCTTGGACGTAGACGCGGGTGTCTCCTCCTTCGTCCACAGAAATGAACGATTCCTCGAGTTCAAGCGGATAAGACAGACGCGTATGATGTCGTCTACGTTTTATCTCGATTGTCTTGTTACGCGGTGTTGGCTCGGTTTCAAGAGCCACGCACTCGGCAGCGTCTCTTATCGCGCGTTTTCGGAAAAAGAGTTCGAATCGTTGAAACGGATGGTACGATAGCAACAAGTCATTTGAACGGGGGAGAAAGTAAAACGGTTCGCTCGGTAGCAGAGCTCGGCGAGCGCATAGATTTTCCTCTGGATTTCGCAGAAGCGCCGACAATTTTTCAAGAGGAACGAGCGCGGTCGTGTCAGAACTAAACAAATGGTTCCTTTCAAAAAGATTCAAATATCTGGCTCTACGGGATCCCTGCGTGAATTTCACTCGATCTAAGAGGATCCCTCGCACGGCTCGCATTTTATTTCGATATTTTTGACTTACGCGCACGCTGGAATTAATAAAGCCTCCGCGCGGCCCATTCTCCCGGTTGAAAGACAATCTTATCGGCGACTCCTGCGTGGAAACGCGGATTCCGATTTTTCTTTCGATGACTGTGCTGTCTCTTCATTGGACATCTGATAGGATCCCTTGCGATATTTCGTTGCGTGTGATCTAGATCATCGCGATACTCATCGCGAACGTTGTCAATGATCGTTTACTTGCGGAAATCTGATTACTGAGCGCGGAGAATCGAATATTGTCGAGTGGAAAGAGGAAACATGCTGCGGGTATATTCATTTCGTATTGATAATGAACGTTGTAAACAGGAAAAGCATTCGAATTCGCGCGTGATCTCATGTTTTATCGGAGTTGTGTACATCACCGTTCATAAGTCATCGGTCACGTGCATCGGTGAATGTGAAATGGGATCGAGTTGATCTCGTAATATTTCATGAATAGCGAAATTCGAACGTGTACACGTCGGTTCTTCATATTTTAGAGAGAACTTGAATTTTATCGCATATCGTAATGTTAAGCATTTTATCAGTAATTTCTTCGCTACGTTGAGAAATAACCGGATTCCAAATATTTCTCGAATATCTTGCTCTATATCCCTCACTACTTGCAGAAATTCTTGATTTTTATGCGCGTTCCTAGTTTTACCTGATTCACGCGATCGCTTGAACCTTACTTATACTTGTAAACTTCTTACTAGTCGTCTGCTTCCCAGAAAGGATTCAGATAAATCTGCAATGTACATTAGTGATCAGAAGTTTGGAATTACTTGCGATAAGTGCATACTTAGTTCATTACAAAACCATCAAATTCACAGTCCGGTAATCATTTCTCACAACGAAATTCTTTTCAAGAGACTCTGTCATTCCAGCGAAAGAGTACCTAAAAGAATCTCACACCGCAATTTGAAACAATCGATCATTGCAATCTTACTATTCCATAATCGTGGCTATTAATTTCGAACATCGCACAAAATCCCAGACATTCTCTCCTATTTCTCGTATCAAAACACCGAACCATTTTCCTCGTCGAGCAAGCGATTCCGAACTTTCTGTCGACAGTGCATATCCAGTGTAGCCCGTAAAATAGTAATGGTCATGCAAGATAGCTTTACTGCGCGAGCATCCATACCGCGGTCTCGTGTCCAGTGGCTTATGGACGGTCGTTTAATTCCAGAAAGTGCTAAATTGTCTTCCGAAGCGAATTTTAACGTATCATCGATACGTCCGCGCGGCCGGATAGGCACGGACGTACGTGTGCGCGAAACGACGAGGCTTTGACGCGATGCCGGTCGGCTGGATGCAGCCCGAGTAGCTTCCTGCATACACGGAAGCTCGAAATTCGGCAAGAGGCAGAGCCGACCTTTTGTGCCCCGGCGATCGTGCGCGGTATGCATTGATAACATGCCCGACGTGTCAAAGGGTGCATAAGCTATTGACGATCGGATCACGAGTCGGTGGAATCCGATGAGCAACCGGCTATGCATCCCGTGCACTTCGTTACATCGCGAAGGTCATTTGCGTCGCGTGCACATCGGCGAGGATCGGCGAACGTTTTCTTTTTTTTCGGATCGATCGAGAGAGATTAAGCGCGCACGTTAATTGGGTGCTAGATATTACGGGGGTCGTTCCTTTAGGCTGGGGACCGCGTTGGTATCGGATTCGAACGTTTTGCATCCCGATTTCGAGGTGTCTGCTCGATCGGTGTCCCCAGGTGCGCCGAGGGAATATCGCGGCCGAACGCTGCCGACGCTTCTGAACATGAGATTAATTTTAGAATCTGCGGTAACTAGATCTAGTCGCGAATGAAAGGACCAAATTAATAGTTTTCGTTCCAGGAATCGGAGCAGCTCGTCTTGAATAGGGTGAATCGTGTTACTGGATAATCGTTCGGATAGCAGCTCGCGCTAATCCGGGGTGCAATCGTTAACCTGTTAAACTGGGAAGGGCGAGTTCGTTCTTTGTGCTCGTCCGTATTCTTCGACTGTTTCTGGATTTCTTGTTTGTCAGCTGGGGAAATCTTTGATCCGATGTTATCATAGTATCTTTAGTAGTACAAATTAGATGTGTACGTGTATTAAAGGGTTGACCGTTTCGAATCATTTTTATTCTTTCTTAATTGCGCTGGTGTGAATTTGGTGATCTAGGAATCGGTTGGTTGACAGGTTAAAATTCTATTTTGAGTAGGTACGCAGAATAAAGTGAATTTGATATGTTTTTACTTGAATATTGACTAATGGAAATGATTAATTGGCGAAGTAAATGTTGTATTGAACTCCAGTCTTCGAAATTTATGTTAGAAATGTTCTGTTGGATGGAAATCTGCGGTTTAATTAAAAATCATTCGTTTCAAGATCATTTTATTAGCTTTTGGAACACAGGTATAGTTATTAACCTGTTAACCGGATGATGGTTCGAGTATAAAACCTTATGAAGGAATGAAATCAGTATGGTCAGCATTTTGCAGCGATACATATACATATAAACGTCAATATAAGATGGTTTATATCAATACAGATATTACGATTCGACAAAGTGCAAGAATTACTGATTAACGCGTCGAGTGTTGTGAGGATGTAAATCACCATTAATCCACGACTAAATTTATTAAGACGGTTCGTTCGACTAAACAATAATGTTCATAAACAGTTTGATGTTATTAACGATAACGACAAAGCAGTGACATTAAGCGAGGTAAATTCGCAGTGTACAATGAAGTACCTCAATTAAATAATTTCACATAACATTTCACCATTCTGTATATTTCGTTCAGTGAAAGAATCAGCAGGCGATCGGTGTGTTAAATGATTAAGAATAGGAACAGCTATTGAAAGACGAAATCGAATAACAATAACGAGTGAATTTGTTATTTCCTGTTAATTCTTTCGTTCCTCTCGTGACAATAAATATAATATATATACACATATTTTTTGTTTCTACATATATATAATCCTTCACAAAAATTGATCAAATTGCGATTTCTCGAGTGCTTTCCGTCGAATTCAATGGCTATTGTTTACTGATTTCAACTTGTTTACGTTCAATAACCCACACAAATAACGACATTTCATTGTGTCCCCGTTCGTTTCATTTAAAAGGATCAAAAGGATTAACAGGTTGAAATCGACAACAGGCTTTCCGCGACAAACGGGAGTATCGCTGTCGCCGAAATGAACAGCGAGAACATATGAAGCGGTGTTCGCGGAAGTCATTGTTCGGCGTCGCGCGAAATTCCGCAAGCCGTGCAAATCCAATTGGCCATATTCCCAATCTCGGTGTACCTGGGCGTCTCGCGAATCGAATCAGACTCGAGCGTTGCTTCGATTCACGGCGAGCCCCGACGGTTGCTATCCCGACGGTTGCTAGTCCCGACGTTCCATCGAATCCCCGATCCGAGAAGCGGTTGCCGGATCGAGTGGTGAACGATCGCGGATATCACGGGCCGGTTTCACGGTTCGATAGTGGAAAGATCCGCGAGATTGAGCGGCCCTAACGCTTAGATTAGCCGCGGCGCACCGCGGTTCCATTCGCCGTGAATGAAAACGGGCCTCGGACGAGCGGAATCGAGGAACCGATCGAACGGGTAACGCTTTTAAGGGGATGCACCGCTTTGACCAGTTCAAAGGGCACCGTGTTTTCAGAATTTATAACGTGAATACTTCCTTTCTTTCGATACGAATAGAAACATGGTTGAATGTCATAAACAAGCTTTTGTCTCGATTTCTCTTTCTCATTTTCCTTGGTTGCGAAAGAACGTTTGAATAGAACAGATATTCCATTGATTTAAGTCCTTCATCATCAAACATAGAATGTTTCCGAGGATATTTGGGAAATAAGAAGATACAGTTTACGTTTGGCTTATACATATCCAACGATCGGAGATCAATTAGAGCTTGAATTTCGATTTTAGTAAAATATCGTCTTTCTGAAAATAGTGAAACACTAATAAACAACAATACAAAATCCTGTGAATCGGTCAAGCCGGGCAAACTCCTACAGTCGTCATTCTTGGCGCGCGTTTGTTGCCAGGAGTCCACGGAACACTTCGTTTATACATGAAGTGTTCCGTTTTCTCATGGAAACATATTCGGTGGGCACAGACAGCGATGGAGTCCACGTGGCACGGCGAACGAACTCGTTAAAATGTGAACCTCGTGTGTCGGGCACCCAGCCAAAATTTTGTTCGCTGCCCTTTCGGCAACAGCCGAGGGTTGAGGTTCTTTTTCCAGGAGGGAAGCGAACCGCGACCG